TCATTTTGATGATGAAATTCTTTGGAGAAGAAGAGGAACTAACCTGAATTTCAGAGGAGACGTCAGAATGTGCACATATTCCCTAAAACCCTCTCTCTTCTTACATGAACCCTAGAAATCCTGGGCATTTGTGAGTCGTTTTTAACATTGGGTTACCGTTTGGGCTGAAGCTACAAGCTTGAGTGACGATTCTTTCCCCCCAAGTATCAAGAATTATGTATTACAGTACTTCGTTTGAGTTAATTTTGCTTTTTATCTCCTAAATTTTCACATTTTTGCTACTTCATTGTAAACTAAAAAACTACTCCCTCAGTTTCAAATTGAGAGTCCGCTGTCAGATCTTTAATTTGGCGTAAATAAATTGAAAAAACGATGCACGGAAGTACTTTATTTATTTTTCCCGAAAATTGCACGTCTTTTTGTAATTGATTCTCAATTTAGAACGGATGGAGTATATTTCTTCCCTCAACTTCCCAATTGCAACCCATTTAAAAAAATTGGTCTAGGGTCCATTATAGCATATTTGTAACCCACCAGGTCCACCTCTAAAGTTTGTAACCCACTAGGTCCACTCAGACAAGGGCCTTGTTTGGCTTAGACAAAAAAAATGTATTTTTACTCTTTTTCTTTTTTTGTGTTGCCAAACTGAGCCCTTGTCAAGCCAAAAAGGAATTAATACAAGCCAAAAATGCCCCTGCTAGCTTTTTTTCACTACAATCACGGCAGTTACGTTGGGATTTTGGGATAGAGAGAAGGAGGGAGTTTTGCGACAGAAAGAAAGAGGGAGAAAGAGATATAACGTTATATACTCGTTCATCAGTTCATATTTAACGTTAGATACTTACATTTAACGCGCTGCACAGATAACATTATTTGAGGCCGCTGCGCGGACCAATTCATATAAGGTGATCTGTTAGACCACATATAACGATATTAAGGATGCAAACCTAAAATGATTTTGGTTGTTTAGGTTTAACCTTATATAATGTCATATGTTCATTTTTCAAGGGATACACATGACAGAACAATACTGTTGTTTCTGTATGAGCAAAAAAATAAAAAGAATGAAGACAAGAAAGAGTGCTTGAGGCATAGCCCAAACACAACCAAGAATGAAATTTAAATTTTGACACTGATATCGACTTACACTATCAACGCAGAGCAAAAATGAGAATGAAATTTAAAGCATCCTTAGACAGTCTATGTTTTCTCTTATAGAGTACAAGAAGTAACAAGTCAAGGTCACTCTTTTAAAACAATTCTGAGAAATAATGTTCATCCAAAGTTCTCAATATTCCAAAGACGTTGGCAGTTCATGTTCAGAAGTCTATATCAGAAACAAAGACCATATGAAAATAGCACACTCTGAAAAAGATACAAATGAATGGAAATCATACAAATCAAAGAAAAAACAGGCAAAATGTAAAACAAGGTTATTTTATTAAATCCAAGCCAAACGAATCCATGTTTTCAGCACAAAGAATGAGGCTCCTCTAAAAAGACACAACAAACAACGAGGAATTAAGCAAAATCTTTTTCAGTTAGGTATCAACAACAAGAACGATGTCGAACTTCATATCAGCAAACAATCATGATCTAGACTTTGTTTTCTGCACTTGTGGGAGTTGCATTGACTTGTGCTCCATTGATCATTCCATCTCTTGTCATCTTCTTCCAAACTTCTAAAATCAGCGAGGTAAGCATGACTGCACCGGAGATAGAACCATACCCGATCATCCATCACTTTGCAGGCTTCAAAATGGTGAAGCCTACCCATATGTTGACCAAGCTCAAGAGAAGAACTAAGTAGCCGGTGAGATGGTGGAATCAATTCCAAATATGTCTGTGCTTGTGGTCCTTCGCAGGTCGCATAAATAGAGCAGAAATCTAAACACAAAAGAAAGCATTTTGTTAGCATGACGTACACCAGTCACAGAATAGCAAATTCAAATAGCATTGTGCATTAAGAGGATAAGAATGGACTTTGTTTTGATACCTGTAGTAGTCCGAGGGCAAAAAGTGCGCTCCCAATACCCATGTGGCAAGGATGATGATTTCCAGATGACATACTACCAAGAACAAGCCCAGTTGCGCCTCCCGACATGCCAAGAAAATAGCCAGAGAGCTGAAGAGATACATGAGTGTAAAACCAAAGAGGGTTTGCTCGTGGTCCGAAGGCCTTGAGATACCTTGCCGCCATGAATCCCAGAGGCATCATAATACCCCAACTGACAGCATTAAGAACTCCATGTGCCTGCAAAATTGATTCAAAATCACCATTAGAGAAATTCAAGCTACTTGTTTTTATGAAAAGAAACAGGCTTCTCCTATTAACAAAGTAAGACGTCCAAGATTATTCCATGCAGTAATCAAGTTATATTCTCTCACGTACTATGTTTAAGCCCTCTGCTATAGTATTCTCTCACGTACTATGTTTAGATATCTCTATAAAACCAATTAAATTAGATTATTGAAATGGTCCGCGCAGCGGCCTAATTGATCCGAACATGATTGGTGAAAACATGATATATAACCTTCCACAAGTCTACTGGTCATATATAACATTATATCAAAGTTAATATGGAACATCTAACATTTGTATGCTGTTGCAATACCATGAAAATGATACAGATTATCAATGGTTATAATATGATGTTGCAATACAATGAAAAAGGGAGAATATATATTGTTATATAAGTACAAATTTGGACATATAACCATATATGTCAGTTAAACACACAAATTAATCGAGTAAATTTGGACATATAACCATATATGTCACCTGTATCAGAAGTTCTGAGTTTTGAATCATGCTAGTTTCATTCCTGTGTCACAGGCCGGATGTTGTCCGGAGTCCAGACTTTGGTATAACCAATAGAAATCAGAAGTGCAAAAAACAGTATCAGTCAACAAATCTACTTTGGACTCTCCCATTCAAACTTTCAAAGACAACCTCACGCTTGCTACGGATTTTTTTAGAACTAAGAACGATTGATATGTTGTGAACCCAATTCTATATAACATTATATGATTCCATAAGTTCATCCAATACCCTAACCAAACCAGATCTGCACAAATACTAACAAATAACCGTGTATGTTCAACCTTAAATTCGAGACAAATTTAGACAGCTTTGACCTGTAATTCGAGAAATGAAAGAGAACTCTCATCCCCCAAAACAAAACAAAGAAACTTTGAACTGCTAAATTTTCCCAATTCTCAATCAAACCAACAGTTCTAACATTTCTGCCAACAATCAGGGGAATATGGTTATATGTACAAATAAAAATAACATATATTTATACACAAAAACTAATAAACTACTAAATTTACGTTATTGAATAGGTCCGCGCAGCGGCTTATAAACCTGAATATAACCATATATATTGTTGCATTACTATTAGACAGATCTAAACGCAGATCAATACAACAAACAATACGAGACAAATTACGAGTCGCATTTGCATATAGCTTTAACCAAAATCAAACAATAGAGTTCCACTCCATTGGTAAAATGTTTATGCGAGACGACAACAATTTAAAGTGCTGAGAAACAAATCTCAGAAGAGCAATATCTATCAAATATACGTCCTTTTCAAAAAAGGTAAAACAAAATAGCCAAAAATCAGACAGCGATTAGTCTCATCTCCTTCATAACTTCATAACCTAACCAACTACCAAGGCCAGGGAGGAATTATTACCATCATGAAGACCATCTCTACTTCACGGTGACGATCTTGATGATAGAAGCGGTCCCAACTCGGTGCAGAGCCACAACAGCATCTCCATCCTTGCACAGTCCCTTCGCGACTGAACAAGGCCGACGACGAAGAAGGGCCGACGTGAATGATCGCGACTGAACAAGGCCGACGACTACGACGAAGGCCGACGACGAAGAAGGGCCGACGACGCCGAAGAAGGGCTGACGCCGAAGAAGGGAGAAGGCCGAAGAAGGGCTGACGACGAAGATCTCGACGAGAACGTGGGAGAAGGCGACGACAATCTAGTGTTTTGTTTGAGTTTTTTTCGTCTGGAAAAGGGGGGAGGGGGGGAAGGGGGGGGAGGGGGGATGGGTTTTATAATGGGATGTTAGGTTTGAATGGAGGAAAAAACGGAACTGAATGGAGGGAAAAAAGGAAACGGGACAAAAGATTTTTTGGAAGCAGGGGTATATTAGACTAACCAGGTTTATTATATCCTTACTAATAAGTTAGTGGACCTAGGGGGTTATAGAATTTAGAAGTGGACTTAGTGGGTTTTGAAAGTGGTACAGTGGACTTGGGAAAAATTCTCCCTTTAATTTAATAGACAACGGGAGTCCAAATCTTGGACGGAAAACAGTTCACGTGGCAACCAAACAAAAAGATTATGTCCACGGGCCCATTTCGAGGCCCCCACACAAACAAGTCGAAATGTTCATCAAATTTAAAATAGTTTTTCGAATAGCCCATTAAAAAATTATCTCAATCAGATAACCACAAGTTCTTGATCTAATCTACTAACTTTTGATTCAAAATTAGAATCCTAAATTCTGAATGAAAAATTTAAAGATTGGATCAAGAAAGGAACTCGAAATATTATTTCAAATCTAATGAATGTTTTTGGAATGTTTGTGTGGACCTTGAAGTGGGCCCCATAAGCTGTCTACATGCGTTGTCTTTTGTTTTGTGGCTACGTGAACTTTTTTCCGTCCAAGATCTGGACTCCCGTTATCTAATAGTAGACCAAATGGTATGCAATGGGAAAGTTGAGAGATAAAATAGATTGTTTTCAGATGAAATAACAAAAATGTGAATGGTTTAGGGGATAAAAACAAAATTAATTATTTCATTTTTACTTTTCTACGAGTAACTTTTTCTTTTTCCTTTTTATGTTTAGGGATGTCCAAGCCAGCCTACGTATACCTCAACTTATCTCCTTCCCAATCCGGTCAAATGAAAAACATCCGCATCGGAGCTAAGGAATTCACAAGAAATTACTTTATTGTGGTCTGACTCCTAGCAGAAATAGCTTAATGGTAGAGCATAGCCTCACCAAGTCTGAGGTTGAGGGTTCAAGTCCCCTCCTTCTGCTCCTGGCTACGTCATTATTCCTTTTTCTGCCTTGCCGGTTCGCCTTTTTTGAGCCGGGCATCCCTTTACTCCATTGCATTAGAAACGCAATGGCGGGATGGGAGCTCTTGTTTGTTCTGGAAACACATCTTCCTATTCCATCTTTTCTCAAATCTCCTTTAACGGAACAAATAGAAGCTCAAGAAGGAGAATCAAAGCAAACTCACCAACCAACCGGACTACCCTCCCAATGCTACATTCTACCCTCCCAATTGAAGGTCCTGTACATTCTTTCCTGCCATAGGGTATGTTCCCAACACCATTGTGGAATCATTTTGAAAAATGATATCTGATTATTTGCAAAATTGCTTTCATAGCATTGCCTCTAGCAGAGTTTTGGTCAGGAAATTTCTATGACTTTTGGACCTCTCTCTCTCTCTCTCTCTCTCTCTCTCATGTATTTATGCTAACCACAAGGTTGAACAAATTTCAGAAGCTTAAACTGCTTTTTCGTTCACCCAAAATGCAGAAAACAAGAACCAGCGGGTGGTATGCAACGTGTGTTGGTAGAATTTGACACAAGATGATATACTGCTACATGCAACCAGGCTCAGGAACACATTGGGCAGAAAAAGTGGAGAAGCTGAAGACGGGTACATGTCACAAAGAACCCTAGTGTGCAAGGTACTTGGACAACCGACTTGAAGTTTGAGGCTTAGAAAACTCTTCATCAGGAGCTTATTTCATATTCTTTCGAAAGCTTCTGTTGCTTGCGCTCCTGGTGGCATACCTCTACTAATCTATCTTTCGGTATGTTTCTTGAGAAATGCGATGAAACCATGAGTCTCCTAAGACTGGTACAAACTGTTCTGTAACATCTTCGTTTCCTGTTATTTGGTTTCTTCAAAAAAATTGGAATCTCGAAGACATCATACTAATCCATTATTTCTCACGTCCAGGGCGTATTTTAAGAAGGAAGAAAGAATCATGTCAGTTGTTCATTTCTTCCCCTCCGCCATCTGACCACCACCTCAGGCACCTCCAGCCACTATTCCCCTATTGCCGCCCATCCCTCCAGGCTCCAAACATCCTACCTCCGCCCACCTCCCCCGGGGTTGTCGGGAATATGTGATTGCACTAAACATGGTTTTGTTCTTAACTTTTCGCAGAACTCGTTAAATATGTAATGCAGCTTGCTTGACAAACTTGTAACTGAACGCTGAGCCGAATGCACAGTATATAATGCAATAGTAAGCGTTGCAAAAATAGATTTATCTCACAAGTTGTGTTGTACCCGGATAAAAAACAAAAAAGATGTGGGCTTCTTTCCCCTCCACAAGGAAGGAGTCTCAGACCCTCGTATTCATAACTATTCATACCATTCAACCATCAGTACACTTCTTACAAAAATACAGCATTCTTTCTACTATATGCAGAAGAGCAAACAATCAGAGCTTAACATAAAATTTGAACTTCCAATGCTTTTTTCATACATTTATTGTCATCCCCTACGAAAACTTTATAATGTTGCAGTGAAAATTACAAAGAGTGGCAGCTGCTGAAAAATTTATTGCCATCACGTACGAAATGTTTACTATGTTGGGGTGAAAATTATAACGAGTGGCAGCTGCCAAAAAAATCAAAACCCATGCACATCAAGAAGGTAGTGTTCTAAAAGGCGGCCGCCTAGGCCGATTAGTCCCCGCCTAGGTGCTTGGTAGTGGTCCGATGCCTAGATTAGACAGCCGACTAGTCGGGCGCCTAGTCCCCGCCTAGGCGCTAGGCGGCCAACTAGTCGGCGCCTAGGCACCCCTTTCCCGCCAGATTAGCGCCTAGCGATTTTTTAAACATTGCAAGAAAGCGCCATAGAAAATAGGGTGAAACCTGAAGCAATCTCAAAGTAGGATACAAAGAAAATTTCATGGCGATGGATAAGAGCAAACCTTGTGATCCTCCACCCTCTGGCAGCATCCTCCTATACGCCTGGGTAGCCATTGCATCCTCCTTTCTTTCTCAGGCTTTTCCCCTATTGACCGCTTACAATTAGGCGTGCATCCCTTTCTTAGTCTACTTATTATCAAGTTGAGTGATACACTTTGCCAGAATAGTGATCGCTCTCTGCCTCTCTCTCACAGCAATCCAGAAGTGACTCAACAACCCAAAGGGATGCGAGCCTAGCTAAATTACTAATCCTCAAAGTATGCTGGTGCAGGTAAGGGACAACAATGCTCAAATAGATTGAAGACTAAGAAGATGAAAAAAAAAACTATGAGCGGCTAGGAAGAGAAAAAGGATTGGATCATGGTTGCTAAGGCACCTTGTGATGTAGCAATGGGATGAAATCCACATCATTAGCAAAGTGACTATTTCGACTTTACACTGTTTCCGCTTAGACAGCCAAGATCAACATAACAAAAATCTTTCTAATCATCAAAACTAAAATTCAAACAGTGAAGAAAACATCAAATTTCCAAATGCGCAGATGTTGCAAAAAATATGGACCAAAAATCCAAATGTATAGACAAAAATGTATTGACCAAATTAGCAGATGATGACGTTGTACCAAGAGTCAAGACAACCATTACAAAAAGATAGAATCCTCAATACGCAACAATTTGAAGTTCAGACTTCAGAGTGTGCATTTTGCCAGTGACCGAAAACAAAGGACTCAAACTTGCTTCCAAAGACTAAATTTGGATCAATTACCTTGTTGTACTAGAAATTGTAGAACCCGCTATCCAAAATCAAATAAAAGAAGCAAAACAACAAGTCGATTGTGTGTCACCTCGGTATCAACAGGAGGAATCCTTAACCAATCCACTCTTATCCTCATAACCCCCATATCCTAAACTACATTGCAAGTACTAACTTTTCCTTATACAACTTTAGTAGCTCGGGAGCTTCTTCCCCGTCACGTATAACAAACTTCTCTAGAAACTGCTTTTCAGAAGTTTGCAGTGTTGTCCAACAAATATCTTTGGTCTTAATTATACCCTTAGACGACAAAACTTGATAAATGGCAAACCTTGGAACGATCCTCTTCTCCAAGCTCAACGAAATGAGTACTGGCCGTCTTGCAACAAATGAAGGCTCCCAACCGATTTGATTGACAACAAAATCCATCACCCGGTTGATCTTACCCTCCGAAGCTCCCATACAATCCGGATGCAGCTTAAAAGCTACAAGAATCTCATCCGCAGTCCAACCCCATTTCGTATAAACCTCAACCTTCTTCTCCCACCTAGATTTACTCACTGCCCTCAAAACATGAATTGCTCTAAAAAAACTGTATTTCGAAGGATCTGTGGGAAAAATGGAATTTTAACCAAAGAGAATTTGGTGGGACCCACTCCGCGCGAGGTGGGCCCAAGTGGGTTTTAGATACTTGTTGCTAAGGAGTTTAAACCGTTGGAAAAATGAACAAATTCTATTGAGAGATGAATTAGAAATTGTCTCTCAAAGTGAGTTTCGGACCAACAATAGTGCACGATTGGATGGTCAAAGCTGGTTGATTACCAGAGTTATTACCCATGATTGTGTATTCAATTTCAGGAATAATAACTTCCAGAATTGAATTGCGGAATCAATTCCCCTATTGATTGAGAGGCTCCTCCACCTTCATTGCAGCATTCATGGCAGAGGCTCCTCCTTCAGCTATAAAAGGGGACCTCTACCTTTGGTTTCAACACACCGAAAAACAATCCACTACTACTTCTGCAATACTATTGTTCTTTTCGAGAGAGAGAGTACAGACACAAGTTGGTTCGACGGACAGTCTTAGTAAAATCGTTAATGAAACCCTAGTAAAATCCAGAAATTAGTAAAAACGTTTACTGTTTTTTCCGCACTATTTTCCTACAGGATCAAACCCTATTTTTTGCGCATCCTCCACAATCTGTCGAAACTCATTGCTGCGCATCATGAATGGTCTAGGTTGGTTCGTCAACAAACGCATAATACTGTCATTTGGCACACCAGCTTCACGCAGTATTGCAATATTGGGTGTGACATGAGTTAGCTCATCTAACAAAAGAAGCATAGCACATCGTTTAACAGCAGCTACGGCTTTCTCTTCGGATTGAAAATAATTACGGCAGAAATTGAAAGACGGGATGATTAACTTTTCCAAGCTTCTCAAAGCAAGTGGGGATGTGGATACTATTCTGGCAACATCTTTGGCTGAAATGCCTTTAGATTTGAGAAACTCGAATTTGGGCAAAAGTATTTTATTGGGATCAGATAAGAGTAACCGAGGGAACTTTTAATGAGGGTTGAGATCTGGGTTTTGGTGAATTCATTGTTCTTGAAGAACGCCAGTACAGAGTCTGGCCTTTCGGGAGATTCGAAACTGACACGCTTAGATGCCGAAATAGCTTCTTCTGGGGAAAACCCACATGATTTTCTGAGGTAAGTGACTGTGAACGGGTCTTGATTTGCTGGGTTTTTAAGGGATTTGAGAGATGAGGAAAATGGGTGGATCTGAAGGAAATGGATATTGTGGACTGGGGAGATGCTGGATGGTTCGGGTTCCACCAAAGTCAATGTCTTGCACTGGTCGGTTGCCCGAGTGAAATCCGGACAGGGGCCCAAAACAACGTCGTTTTGGACCAAAAAGACTGCTAGCTGTTGCTTCTTTATGCCGTGTCTTTCCATCTTCTCCCTTGGAACATGTATAATGTTATTATTATAAGGGATGATGGGTGCTTATATATTGGCATGAGGAAGGTATTTTTCGGGAGGCAGAGAGAGAGAGTTAGGGTGGAAGAAAAACAGTTTGTGTGTGTGGGGCAGCTCTTTTGGGAGCTGCCGGGTACACGGGTTTTTCTACCGCAAGTTTTGTGTGTGCAAGGGTCAAGTCTAGTACTTGGTGAGAGTGTGTTCTTGTATGAGTGAGTGTATAAGGGTTGGGTGTAGGTTAGTTCATACTCAAGTGTACTTGTACGGAAATTCTCATAGTGAAAAGAACGGGATCCTCTCCGTGGAGTAGGCAGGTTTTTGCCAAACCACATATATCTTGCGTGT